ACAAGATGGGGCACTATAGAAATGAATGTCCCAATTTGAAGAAAGGTGAGAAGAAAGGCAAGAAGAGCATGAAGAAGAAAGCTTTTGCTGCCACTGGGAGTGATGATGAGACTAGCTCAATGGAAAGTGAAAGCTCCTTGGAGAAAGGTGTTGCAAATCTTTGCTTCATGGCTCAAGAGGATAGCAACCATGATGAGGATAGCAACCATGATGAGGAGGTAAACTCTAACTTCTCTAGTTCAATTAATGAAAGTTCATTTGAGTATTCTTATGATGATTTATGCAAAGTTCTTGATTGCTCTATAAATGATATTAAAAGACTAGGGAATGAGAATCTTGCTCTCACTAAAACTATTTCATTGCTTAGGAATGAGATTGAATCTCTCTCAAAACAAAATGAGGTTTTAGTTAAAGAGAATGCTTCTTTAAATGATGAGATTGCTTCTTTAAAAAATGAGGAGTCTAATAATGCTTTGAAAAAGGAAAATGAGGATTTAAAGAAAGGAAATGAAGATTTAAAGAAGGAAAATGAGGTTTTAAAGAGAAAAACTTGTGATCTTGAAAATGTGATTTCCAAATTTACTTTGAGTAAAGAAAAATTTGATTCTATCTTAAAATCTCAAAGAAATATTTATGACAAATGGGGCATTGGATTTGATTATTCTAAAAAGCAAAAGACTTTTAAGACTACCTTTGTAAGAGCAAGTCAATCCTATCATCCTAATGTTACTTGCTATTGTTGTGGTGAAAATGGACACTTTGCTTATGTATGTCCTTTGAAGAGATTGATAGCTCAAGGTAAAGTGAAGCAAATTTGGGTTCCAAAAGGAACTTTAAGCACTAACCCCCATGGACCCAAGCAAATTTGGGTACCAAAAATCAAAACTTAATTTTGTTTTGTAGGAAAAGTTGATGGCAAAGTCACTAAGGAAAGCAAAGTAGATCTTAAAAGGACTTATGCCTCAACAAGAATGTTGGAGTGGAAGTGCAAAGGAAATTTGTTTTTGAATGCTCCACTCATGTTCTCAAATTGGTATTATTTATTTTATTGCATTTATTCATTGAGTATAATTACTTCAACATGACTATTAATGATTTGTTTATATGTGCTCACTCTTTGATACATATGCTTGTTGAGTATGATTCCATTTGATGTGTCTTTCCTAGTGCTTGATATGATTCTTGAAATTAATGAATATGCTTATTAGAAATTGTGCATATTGATATGTGTACCTTGATTATATTCATGATATTTGATGATGCATTCATTGATATATGACTAAAGTTGCATTATTTAGTAGTGGACGTCCAATTTAAACTTAGTTAAATGAAGAGATATCAAATTAAGGTGCATTCCCTTCAAAACAGCCCCAAACTTTCTGTTTGTCCCAATCAAGGCCAGTAGAGCCGGCTCATCCCTTCTCACAGCCGGCTCAACCAAAAACCCGACAGTATTCTCTCTCTACAACACAGCCGGCTCTAGCTTCACAGCCAGCTCAACCCAAAAAAACCGAGAGTCTTCTCTCTCTAAACCACAGCCGACTCAACTGCAGGCGACCTGACCCGAACCCGCTTTACAGCCGGCTTTGTAATTATAGCCGGCTCTCCTGCAAATTTTTAAGGCTCGGGTTTCTCTCTCTCCTCGCACAAACCAGTCAGATCTGTTTCATTTTCTCACCCAAACCCATGACCTCTCCTCTCCCAAAACTCGCCATTCACTCTCCCAAACACCCAAATCCCTCCAAATCTCCAAAACCCATCCCTTAAACACTCAAATACCATCAAATCCTTGCCTACCCAACACAAAACCTCAAGTTTTTCACTTAAATTTGTATGGGATCTGCTGTATTTTTAGTGTGGCTGGTATTTTTGTTGAGATTTCTCTCTCATGGCTTCAAGAAGGGCTAGAAGTAAAAGGAAACAAGTCGGTAGTTCTAGCACCGATGGTCAAGCTCAAGAAGAAGAAGGTAACATCTCCCAATCAAATCTCTTTTTGGATACCCAAGCCTCTACACAGTATGAAATTATCAAGAATATGGCCGTTTTATCTTGCAATTGTGTCAAATTCAGTCAATTTCCTCAAGGGGATATGCGTGTTGAGCAAATTTTTAGGGAACTTGGGTGGAAGAATTATATAGAAATTAAAGAGCCTGTGTATTATGAAGTTGTTCATCAATTTTATGCTAATCTAAAATCAAGAGGGAATAAATGCAAAACCATGGTTGCTGGGGTATCATTTCAGTTTACACCAAAGGATATTTGTGCTATATTAGCTATACCTGAAGGAAGAGATGATGAATTTCTAGATGTGAATCATGCCTTAGTTAGAGCCACAATTGCCCCCAATTACACTGAAAATCAAATTAAAGTGGGGTCTCTTTCACTAGAAAATAGAGCATTGCAGTGGATTATATCTCGCATTATTGCTCAGAGGAAGGGTTCTAAATCTTATGTTCTTGCCAGTGATCTTCCCTGGTTTGACTATCTTTTTAACAGAAAAAGGGTGAACCTAGGAAGATACATTTTCCAGAGCATAATCAAGCCTTACTCACCAACTACGGGACTTCCTCATGGTGCTTTAATTACCAGATTGGCGAAGAGGAACAATATTGATCTTACCTCCTTTAGGTTCGGAACGGTTCCTGGTGGGACTACACTTACCAAAGCCTCTTTTGAGAAAATGGACTGTTTGTTTAGAAATGGCATTTGGATAAAGAAAGGGGAACAAGAAGGGGATGAAGAAGAAGGTGATACAGATCAAGAAATGGTAGAACAAGGGGCAGAAGAACATGAAGATAACAGCCCAAGACCATTTCGAGCCTCTATGCAAAGAACTAACTGTGAAACCATGGAGTTAATGATATCTGAGATGCAGCAGCTGCACACCGACTTTTATGGTTTTTGGACAGAAATGAGAGGGAGAATGACTAACATGGAAGGAAAGCTGACTAACATGGAAGGAAAGCTGACTAACGTGGAAGGAAAGCTTGATCGGCTTGTTAACCATTTTTTCCTCCACCCCCACCTGATGCCACCTAACTTGATATTTCTTTAGTTTGGCTAATCTTTAGGATGGATATCTTAGGATTATGCATTTTATGTTTTATTTGACTAGGGATATGTCTTGAACCTTTTTATCTTGTTTTATGAATGGAAATGGAATCACTTGTGTTATCATGCTTTATGAATGGTTGTTTATGATTTTGATGATGATATGCTCTTATTGAGGGGGAGTTTATTAGTTGATGAGTGTATTCATAACTTTGGTTGTCTATGGTGCTATATTGATGATTATATTCATGTTCTTGATGCCTTAAAGGTTGATAGCATTAATTAAGGGGGAGTTTATTGCTTTTGTTGATTATGTGCTTTTTGATGAATGACAAAAAGGGGGAGAAGAATATGCTGAATTTAATGTCATTTTCTAGAGTACCTTGTGCTGAAATTCTGGTTAATATTGAAGTATTTATGTGCATTTATTAATTAATTCTCAAAGGGTGTTGTCATCATCAAAAAGGGGGAGATTGTTATACCTATGATTTTGATGATTACAAAACACATTTGAGTGACTAATTGGTTTATTTAAGTGTGTAGTTAAGTTGCTAAAAGATTGCAAATAAACTTGAATTGCACTAAAAATACACCAAAAGGATTCAAAATGTGCAGAGAGCCGGCTTTTAAAAGCTGCAGTTGGCTCTGGTGAAATGGAAGTGCATAGAGCCGGCTTTGGAAGTTGTAGTCGGCTCTACAGGCAAAAATTTGAAGACCGTTGCTTGGCGCGCGTGGAGAAAAGACGCAAAGCTGGCTCCAACTTTATAACCGGCTGTGAGGGTGCATTTAATGCATAACGGTCGACTCTTTTGAATGCATTTAAAATCGGAATTCCAAAGCCGGCTTAAAGTTTTGCAGGCGGCTCTCGAGGAAAACAGAATGGGCTACAAACCCGGATAGCCGGCTCTCGAAGTGTAAGCCAGCTCTGAAGAGCCGGCTCTCCTGACAATCCTGCAGCTCGAGTTTTGTGTCTTGCAGAGCATTTAATGACCCCCAACGGCTAGAAACGACTATTTTTGACCATGGAGCTATAAATATGGTTGGTAACAGATCTGAAAAAAAGTTAGAGAGTATTGTATTGAATATCTTTACTACCAACTTGTGCTTTAACTTGAGATTTTGATCTTTGAGAGATCTTTGTTTGTAATCCTCTTCTTGTGCTATTAATGAGTGATCTTGGGGATGTGTTGATTCCTTCAAGAGTGATCTATTAAGAAGATTTGTGGGGTTTACATTGTAAAGGGGTGAGGTTTGAGAGAAATACTCATCTTCTTGTAAAGGATTGAGTGGCTCCCTTAAGCCACCATTGTTTTTGTTAGTGGAGAGTGTGGAGGAAATCCTTGGTGAGTGAAGCCAACGTAGAGGACTAGGCTCCAAGTGGTTGGACCAAACCTCTATAAAATCATTGTGCAAGCTCTTCTTCTCAACTCTCTCTTTAATTTTTGTTTGGTGGTTGCGAAGAGGTAAAAATTCTCCAACTCCAATTCACCCCCCCTCTTGGAGTGCATTGAGTCAACAATTTTAACGTGTCACCTGTCATTTAACTGATGGAAGGACCATTTTGGTACCGAAAATGAAAGTCTGAGGATAATTTTGGTACTTTTAAAGCTGAGGGACAATTTTGGTGCCAAAGTGAAAAGTTGAGGGACCAAAATGGTACTTAAACCTTATTTTTTTTGTTATTTCGTGCTTAAGTCGTTCTACTCTTGTTTTAACCGTAACATTCCGAATGTTTGCAAGCCAAAGTGGTTAACCTTAAGAAAAAAAATGAATTTTATTTGCTTTTGACTCCGAAAGAGCATTATGTAACATTATCTTTAATAACCTTCAACTTATACGTTCGTGATTTTGCAACGATATTACTCTGTACCATCGTAAGATAATTTCAGGTAGACAATCGATGGTTTTGTGGTTCCAAGGGACTGTAGGGTCGATGTAAATGCAATTGGTTTTCGCAGGAATGGATTTAGGACACGAGAAGATGGCGATGTCTTTAAATGAAAAGAATAAAAAGGTGCACTAAGAGAAGTTTCTGGATTTTTTCTAGTATATTCGAACCAAAATCGGTTTGAAAAATGAAAAGTATGGAAGCTTCTGGATTCTTTCCATATATTCAGACCAAAACTGGTCCGTATATATATTCATACCTAATTTAATTTAGTTTTAGGATTAAAAATCCCTCGGAGTGCCTATATTCGGACCGATACCGGTCCGTATAATGTTATACAAACCGATATCAGTCTGTATATACACCTGAATAGTAGCTTTTTATTTTTTTTGTTATTTCGTGCTTAAGTCGTTCTACTATCGTTTTAAACCGTAATATTCCAAATGTTTGCAAGCCAAAGTGGTTAACCTTAAGAAAAAAAAAATGAATTTTATTTGCTTGTGACTTCGAAAGAGCATTACGTAACATTATCTCTAATAACCTGAAACTTATATATTCGTGGTTTTGCAACGATATTATTCTGTACCATTGTAAGATAATTTTAGGTAGACAATCGATGCTTTCGTGGTTCTAAAGGATTGTAGGGTCGATGTACATACAATTAGTTTTCGCAAGAATGAATTGAGGACACGAGAAGATGGTGATCTCCTTAAATGAAAAGAATAAAAATGTGCACTGTGGATTTTTTCCCAACATATTCGGACCAATATCGGTCCGAATATGTTAATGTGATCCCTTGTAGGCTTTAATACATATACAGACCGAAATCGGTCCGTAATTAATTTATGCGCTAAATTTTTACCATAAATTTGAATCTTTCTGATTGTGCGCTAATTTAATTATATTTGAACCGATTTCGGTCCGAATATAATTAATGCACCAAAATTTTTTTCGAAAAAATTGAAATTTTTTGGTGAGGCGCACTAATAAAGATTATACAGACCGAAAACGGTCCGTATAAGTCTTATATATATCACCACTTCTCTTCCTTTTCCTCATTTTCTCTTCTTCCTCTCTTTCTTTTCCTTTCTTCCTCTCTTTCTTTTCTTTTCTTCCTCTCTTTCTTTTCTCTTCTGCCTCTCGTCTCCTTCTTTTTCTTCCTTTTTCTTTTCTACTTCCTTTTCTTTGTCATTTCCTCTCTTCTTTCCTCTCTTCCCTTTTCTTTCTCATTTCCTTCTATTTCCTTTTCTTTCCTCTCTTTTTTCTCTCCACTTCTTCATCTTTTCTTTCCTTCTTTTTTTTTTTTTTGTTTTCTCATATGTATTTTTAAAATTTTT